ATTCCACCAGATCCTTAATGCAACAATAAACCCTGGTGTTTTAGCTTCACCTGATGTAGAAAACCTATTGAGAAACATTCCAGTAAATAAATATTTGCAACAGTGTCAACATATACATTCTGCCCCCACCTATGAAACCTAATATTCTCAAAAAACTGTTACATGCATGCACAACCCCTTTTACACCCACAATGGTAATATATATACTCAAACAAAACACAAAAAAAAAAATTCACAAAGAACTTAAGTTATGTTCAGACAATATTTTCATTTTAGTCAGCAATAAAAATAAATCAATAAATTGGATACTTTAAAGCTACATTTGATAAAAAGAAGTTTTAAAATTTACTTAGAAATTTGGTAATAGCAAAATTCCATTACTAGATGTTCAAATAATTCAATAATACATTTACTACTTTACTATACAAGAAAACACCAAGTAAAAACTCCTACTATCACAATTAAAATAGGGCATGTACACTTCCATAAAAAGTTCCAAGTGAGGGCACACAGGGTCTCATTCTTGCATTAAGAACTCAGTAATATAAGAAACAACAGTTTCCCAAACTACATTATAGACAGTCAAATCAAATTGTTTCTTTCAAAACTAAGCAATAACACAGTTTGAAGATAATAGCAATAATATTAATATATTTTATTGAAACCAAATGCACAGAAATTTCAAACAGGATGAATTCACTCTAAAGAAGATCATAAAAACATGTATCACTTCAGTTGAACAAACTAAAAATATGAAGTTAATTATCTAGTTTAAAAAAAAATAAAAATAAAAAAAATAAAAAAATAAAAAAAATCAAAGCAGCAATAACAGCCCAAGTGGAATCAAAAGTATATAAGACCAACATTATTCATGTATTCAAATGCCCCAAAGGAAAAATTCATAATTATGTTGGACATACCACCACTCGCTTATCAAGTCAACTGACTTTACATCTCTCAAACCAGAACTCCATATTTAATCCAGCATAGAAATGTACCAAACTCAATCAGCAACATATTTGTCAAGAATACAGATATGAGATGCACAATGTATTCCACATTCAGTACAATTTTTTAGAATATTTTAGAGTATGAAAATCCAATATATAAGAATTTCTGTAAAAAATAATTATAATCCATTTAAAAGAGAGCCACTCTAATTATAACAGCAAGTAACTTAAATAGTTATATCACTCCTAAAAGCATTGCTTTTTTTTTTTTTTTTTCCAAACTTCAAAATGAAATATAGAAAGATAACTAAATTTTATCTGAATACATGAAATAATATAACCTGAAATATATCTTTAAAATATATATTCAAGTAAAAAGTGTGCAGTAACATTAAATTGAAACTATTAATCCACAATGAACAGTGGTAAATCCAAAATGGAGGCAATAAAATTAATAGTTTTAATAGACATAAGACTGGAGACAAATAGAAACTACATTTCTCATTGGCTAAAAATGATAACCACCAGTCTGAATGAGTATTTCGAATAACAGAATCCACCCCTCTGATTGGCCAAAAAATACCAACAGTCAGAAGAAAATAAATAAATCCTTATTGATCTGAATTCCTACATAGAATTGAATAAAAGGATCTCATTTGTATAGGCAAATATTGTTTCAAATTCTTGCAATCATGTGAAAGCTATGTCAGAATGCTAGTTGAGAAAGGATTGCTCTCAGATGGGTCCATGGGAGAGAAAGTCTGATATTATGGAGACCAAAAACATTCTAGGACTCCAGAATAAACATGACTGAAGAAGGTGCACAGTATCTGCATATAAAATGATTAAGTATCCCAAACTAAGTTTTATTTTCCATATATATATATGAAACCCTTAATACAGGCATAAAGAGTTTGACCAAGTATAAAATATGGTATGAAACTTGTCTTAGTAGTTCAATTAGCAACAAAGTTATGACAAGTTTCTTGTTATCTATCTTATATGCTAGTGGGCCAGAAACCAATTATAACAATGGAAGCAATAATTATTAGATCAGACCAGCCTAAACATTGGGAAAAATTATGTTCTTAAAACTTAAATAGTTAAAACATGACACAAAAAACACTGTTTATGTAAGTTTCATTTTAGTTAATGCCTTGCAACTTCTTGCTATAATTCATAGCACAACAAAAATGAACCTGAATATTTTTTCTGTAGAACATCAAAAGAAAAAAATTCATATTTACACTATACAAAAACAGCCAGAAGCACAATTTAAAAGTAGAACAAAAAACAAAATGGTCAAAATACTATCAAAATACTATAAAAAAAAGATTTGATTTTGAAAATTACCTAGCTACATTTCAATTTGCACAATTTTAGCTTAAACATATATCCACTTTGTTAAATAAAATGAATGACTATTAAAAGGAAAACTGGACACTTAAAATTTTAATTTTTTTATGAACTAACGTAAGTGCAAAATTTAAAGAACTAAGAATATATCCACTTTATATATTTATTTTATATAGTATCAATTCTGTCTAATGTTTTTTAAGAAAGTGCATAAAAACAACAGCTGAGGTGAAAGTCATTCGAACATGATAGTTTGGATAAAATACAAGGAATACTGTTATACTTTATACAGTTTTAAAATGCATCATTAAAGAAAATATAAGAAAAAGATTTAAACCATAATATCCTTCAAAGAAACAAGTTTGATTTAAAATGAGGTTCAACTGGCAAAGTTCATTCACTTAGTAAAAGAAATTTTGAGGTTTTGCACAAACTGATAGTAGTATACACTCTTTGATTTGCATGTGCCTCAAGTTGTATGACCACAGAGATACACAACCGACTGATTGAGATGCCACTCTACAAAGTGCAATTTTCATTTTTGTTAAGTGTAGAATTTCTCTAGTATTTCATCCACTAAATCTTTCAATTTAGAATTTTTTTTTTGTGAAAGACAACCTCAAACCTTATGGCAAGCCCACCAAATTGATAAATGCCTTTCTTTTCTTTAAAATTGGACTATTTTGATGTGTTTTTAACTAATCCTGACACAGAAAGAATTGTATCTTTATAAAGTGTAAATATTTTATTTACATACTAGTTTTATCACAATAGCTTTGAAAATAAACATGATATCAGCAGTTCAAATAGGAAAAAAAAATTTCACTTTTTTTTTTTTTTTTAACATGTTCTTGCACTTAGGCAGTTTGGGATACCTATTCAATTTTTCTTCATATGACAAAAATATGAAAAGTCCAAGAATTACAATTTCATATGAAAAGTTAACAGACTTAAAAATGGAAGTACAAATGCAACTTGGTTGGAAAAGGCAAAAGTCACTCATGCTCTGCTATGAAATTTATAATTTTAACATTTCTTATATATATATATATATATATATATATATATATATATATATATATAAAATAATATGTAACTTTGTGTCTTTAGAAAAACAGGGAAAAAAATCTATCAAAGCAAACAAAAAATCTTCTAGAAAGTAAAAAGTAAACATGTAGGAAAAATTATCAGCCCACCCACTTCAAAAGAAACAATTCATTTCAATGATAGGATTTTTTTTTTTTTTTTAATTATGTCAAGGAGAGTATTTAAATAGCATTTTATAACTGACTTTACATTTCAAAGAAAAATGAATCTGTTAGGTATCTTGACATTAGAACAATAAAGTGTAAAATCAATGATTAGTTGGTTTAATTAGAATACTAATTGTAACAAGTTTTAAGTTTATCAATAAAACAATGGCAGTAACTATATCAATACTAATGATAAGTACTATTAAAAGATTACCAAATTTGGTTAATTTTACAATTAAAATAAAAAAAAAAATTTAAAAACAAAGCAAAAACTATCACTGTTTTCCCAATTAACATTAAAGCATGATAAAATTGCTTATCAGCAATCAGCAATATATTGCATACGCAATTAATAAATAAAAACGGTCAATAATACATGAAAACATTTTAAAACAATTTCATTTATTCTTTTCCTTAACTTATTGCCATTTCCACAAATGGAAACTTTTCATCTTTGCACATGAGGATATGGCCATTGCAAAATTGCATTTATCCATGTAGAGTCAGTTAAAAAAAAAAAAAAGCCAAAAACAACCTGAAAATGACCAAGTAGTTTCTTTTGTCATTCATTACCTGAAAATAATGTTATAATAAATTACATATTTATCAGTGTGTAATAAAAAATGATTAACAAAGGCATTGGAAGTGAAATTGACGGATGACTTTATATACTTACAGAGGTAGAGTTATTAGTAATACAGATATCCTGACAAATTTCTCACTCACACATAACATGAACACAATGACAAATAGACAGATGCAAATGGATCATAACATAGTAAATGACTGGTAAAAAGAAACAATGATTATAGTTGTTGAGTAATACAAAATTGTTACTGGAATGAAAAGTAACAAGTTCTGTTACAAACATAAAAACAATAAAACTGAATGGATGAACTTTGATGAGAAGTTTTCAAGGTTAAAGAGAAACCCCATTTTGTTAAAATTAGGTAAGGATTTCTCTTACCTGCCATTTATTTCCTTTGTGAAAATAGTACTCACCTTCACATCTCTCACATACACTCTTTTAAATTTCTTGTACAGCTGTAGAGTACGTTAAAATTAGGTGCAGAATTATTGGGCAAGGAGGCAAAATTTTCATGTAATAGGGCAGGGGTCATCTGCAATTGATCAGTACAAAAAGAACTGAATCACCAGCTGCATGATAGTGATGCACAAGACAAATTCAAGAGAAGTGATAATAGCAATCCGTACATGCACACAGTGAATACACTCAAAAGAACACAGGTTATTGGGAATATACATGGCCAGATGACAAAAAAAAAAAAAAAAAAAAAAATATGCTCTCAGAGGTATAATGAAGCATGGAACAATCCAATATTGCCTGCAGTTTCTCATTCTTTTTTTTTGTTTTGTTTTTTTCATTTTACAAAATAACTTTATCCTCCTTTTTGCAAACAAGTAGTCCAAAAGGCTAAATTCAGTCTTGGCTGACATCACTGTCAAAATCTTCTTCTGAGGAACTACCAGAATCTAAAGCATCACTATGTTTTGGTGAATGGTGATAGAGATAATTTTGCAAAAACACTTCCTGGTCAGAAGTTTCTCGTTTCTCCATTTTGTAGTCAGTCAAAAGGGGGTAAATATGTTCGATGGCTTCTTGGACATTGGCTACACTTGGAGCTGAAATAGAAAAAAATTATATTATCAAGAGAAAAAAAAAACATTACTGGAAAAGAGAAAGCGTTTTTACTTTGACAACAATTGTTCTGTTTCATTGTCTTAGATTCCTTAATAGGTAGAGTGGGTGGTGACTGTTTTTCAAGTCAAGAGCAAAAGAACAATTTTTATTTTTAGTGGATACCCATGTTTGAAATAGAAGCCCTGTTTTTTATTTTAATTTTAAACTGTGTGTGTTGCATTTATCAGCCATCTATCACTTTGGAAAACTAAACAAAGAAACTGTGCTCTCTAGCCAAGTTCAAACCCGTGTCTAGAAAGTATATTTTCTTTATTAAATTTTCTCAACTATGCAAGCAGATGTAATAAACACTGAGTAAAATAAAATTTAAAACATAAAATTGGAGCATCTATTTCAAACACTAAAAAATAAAAAAAAGATCAGATTTTTCCTCATGCAAGCTTTTGCAAAATAATAAATAAAAACGCAGTGGTATATAACATTAAAATAATTTATTTTAAATTATATTTTATACTAAATTTATAGGTCTTACAGCAATGACATTACTATGACAGGAGGAGCTGCAAAGTAAAAAAAAAAATCTGATGTTTGGTTAATTAAAGTTAGGAAGAGGGTTCAGCTGAAAACTTTTTAGCACCCACTCATACAATTAAACATTTCTACTAAAAGGGTACAAATTGTTTTTGTATTTAAGTCAGTTTTACCATTCTTTAAATAAAAATAGTTATCTCAAAGTAATATTTTATTTTCAATATACCTAAAAACCTTTATTACAAGCATAGAGAACTTAAAACATTACAAACATGGTACCAAATTTAGCTTAACAATAGCAACAAAGTTATGCCTATTCAAAGTTTGTCAGTTTTGTTTCACATGCTATTGAATTAGAAGCTAATTTCAACAGTGTATAAACTGAAGATGCAGCTATAGTCATGACATAAAAATATAATATGAAATCAATATTAGATCAGAGCAGCCTAAATACTGGAAAAATTAAGTTCTCCAAAACGAAATAGGTAAAACATGATAGAGAAGGGTACGTTTGACTGTTTATAGAAATTTCATTTCAACAATTAATGCCTTCATAGCACAACAGAGATAAAACTAAATTTTATTTTCAGTTTTACATCAATAAAAAAATCTTATATTTACACCATATAAATAGCCAAAAGCATCATCCTGAACTTGCCAGAAAAAATTTGCAGTTTGAATTTGTTTATAATCCCCTTACTACAGACAATATTCCAGGAATACTCCATATCCTATCATCTCTTGAAACTGGTATTATATCGAAATACCTAGAGGAAAGTGGTCTGAACATAACAGTTTGGACAAAATACAATGAATAAGAAATTTATATAATTTTAAAATGACTCAAAGAAAATATTAGGAAAAATTTTTTTTAACTATAATAGCCATCAGTGAAACAATTCTGATTTAAAATAGGATTTAGCTGGCCATGTTCATTCACTGTCAACAATACAAATTTTGATGCAGCAGACCCAACTATTTTTCACAAAATGAACACTTATTGATTTGCATGCGCCTTGAGTTGTATAGGCACAGAGATATGAAACAAATTGATTATTAAATAAAAGATTGTTCTAGAAGAGATGCAATTTTCATTTTTTAAGAGTTGAATATCTCTGTTATTTCATACACTAAAATTTTCAACTTTAAAATTATTTGTGAAAGGCAACTTCATATCTTATGGTTAACCCAACTTTTGTTTACATACAAATTTTATTTAAAATAGCCTTGAAAATAAACAAAATATCATCAGTTGAAATGGAAGGGAATTTTACTATTTTAATGTGCCCACACTGTAAACATTGGCACAGATACTAAGAAAGCACCAGTATAAAAAAATAGTAAGAAAGCACCAGTATAAAAAAATAGTAAGAAAGCACCAGTATAAAAAAATAGTAAGAAAGCACCAGTATAAAAAAATAGTAAGAAAGCACCAAAATATAAAAAAAAAAATAGTAAAAAAGCACCAGTATAAAAAAAATAGTAAGAAAGCACCAGTATAAAAAAATAGTAAGAAAGCACCAGTATAAAAAAATAGTAAGAAAGCACCAGTATAAAAAAATAGTAAGAAAGCACCAGTATAAAAAAATAGTAAGAAAGCACCAGTATAAAAAAATAGTAAGAAAGCACCAGTATAAAAAAATAGTAAGAAAGCACCAGTATAAAAAAATAGTAAGAAAGCACCAGTATAAAAAAATAGTAAGAAAGCACCAGTATAAAAAATAGTAAAAAAGCACCAGTATAAAAAAATAGTAAGAAAGCACCAGTATAAAAAAATAGTAAAAAGTAAGTATAAAAAAAATAGTAAAAAAACCAGTATAAAAAATAGTAAAGAAAGCACCAGTATAAAAAAATAGTAAGAAAGCACCAGTATAAAAAAAAAAAAAAAAAAGCACCAGTATAAAAAAAAATAGTAAGAAAGCACCAGTATAAAAAAATAGTAAGAAAGCACCAGTATAAAAAAAAAAAGTAAAGAAAGCACCAATATAAAAAAAATAGTAAGAAAGCACCAGTATAAAAAAAAAATAGTAAGAAAGCACCAGTATAAAAAAAAAATAGTAAGAAAGCACCAGTATAAAAAAAAAATAGTAAGAAAGCACCAGTATAAAAAAAAAATAGTAAGAAAGCACCAGTATAAAAAAATAGTAAGAAAGCACCAGTATAAAAAAAATATAAAAAAAATAGTAAAGCACCAGTATAAAAAAAATAGTAAGAAAGCACCAGTATAAAAAAATAGTAAGAAAGCACCAGTATAAAAAAATAGTAAGAAAGCACCAGTATAAAAAAATAGTAAGAAAGCACCAGTATAAAAAAATAGTAAGAAAGCACCAGTATAAAAAAATAGTAAGAAAGCACCAGTATAAAAAAATAGTAAGAAAGCACCAGTATAAAAAAAAAAAGTTAATTTTCAAAATAAGCGAATTTTTGGTGTGACTATTTCCCGGGTAATAAAAATGTATTCTCCACCTATTCTATTCCTCTCTGATCTTAACTGCATCTTGTCAACTTCAGTCCAAGTGTTTCTAACCAGAAAGAGTCAACACATCCAATTTATTCATTTAAAAAGTAAATTTTGATCTCTCAACTTAAAAAAAAATTTCAAAACTTATAGTTTCTTAATTGAATTCTTTTTGTAAAGATTTTTTTGTATTTGAGTAAACTTGTTCTGTCAATTTAAAAAAAAAAAAGTTTGACATAATTCTCAAAAAGTATTTTTTTTAATTGAATTGTGATTAAGAATACATACAAAATTTGTTTTAAAATTATAGAATCAATTGAAAAAATTCTCAAAAAATTAGCTTCTTAATTTAAATGTGAATAAATTTAAATACTGTTTTGTACTGAATTTATTAAAAAAAAAAAAAAAAAAAGTCATAATTCTCAAAAAATATAATTTCTTAATATAACTATGATTGAATGTAAATACTGTTTTAATTTTCAAATTTGTTGATTTATTGGAAAAAACAAAAAAGTTCTGCCAATTCCAGTGATTTCAACATGATTAGAATCTGTTTTTGGAGACAATTGTATAAAAAAATACTTAGCCCTGCAGTTTAACAATTTATTAAGAAACTTTAGTTGGGACCCATTATTTTCCCAGGAACCTACCCAAATCACCACCTGTGGGGCCCTAGAGATTCACTACATCAAAAATGTATCAGCATCTCTGAGAAGGGAATGCCAAAGAAAGAGGATTGAATAATATCATGAAAATTTTGCTCAGATCTAGGCACTGACCAAGTCATGTGGAACCTATTTCTTAAGCAAGCCACTACAAGATTGATAGATTATAGGATAAAAGAATCCCTAACAGAACAAACATTTCAACTAAAACAAAAGTATTTATTTTAACTCGTACCTTATTTAAAAAAAAAAAAAAAAAAAGTTGCATCAAAAACTCAAGTATGTATTTTCATTCATTTTTTGCACAAAAGTTAGTATTGACTCAATGTCACTTAATAAGCAATTACAATTTTTTTTCTAAACAAGGTTAATTTTAATGATATCGGTAAATATAACTTAATGCAGTCAAACAAAATTAATGCATGTCAAAGTTAATTCAGAAAACTTACCAGTAACAGTAATACTTCCTGTAGAGAATATTTTTAATGTGGCTTTCAGTCGTTTGATTTTATATGTAACACCAGGATGAAGCTCTGGTTCATAACTGCAAAGTAAAAAATAATAAAATCTGTAAACTGGTCATACTTTTAAATCATATAAAAGAAAAAGAGGAAAAGCATGAAAAATCTAAACAAATGAAACAATTATTGATAACCTTATTTGTTATAAGAATAATCAATTGATTACCATAACTGTGTAGAAATCTTTGCAAATAACACAGGTAGTTTTGATATAAAAGAAGTACTAAAAGGCCCAACCCACTTCTCAAAATCTGAACAAATGACCAAACATCAGAATATTCTATTTTGAATCCTTCCTTAGTCAGGATGAGAACTTTTCAACACTTCATATAGTCAAGATTTGCTTATCCATATATATTTTTAAGAGCAAATAAATTTCAGTCAAGCATGGGCTTTTATAAAACCTCTCAAGGCAACTAATTTGAAAAACACCATGGAATTGTCAACTTTGAAAATACCAAAAAAAACATGTAGCCATTGTTAAAATAGTGATATAATTTAAAGAGATGTAAAAGAAAAACTGATCAACACACAAGAAAATGAATTGTATCTCTAGAAAGAGAAAATATTAAATTCACTATTTTGACACATCTTAACACTGTAAACTATAACAGACTGAGACACCTACTATAATTTTCAGGTTTATATTCCAAAGGAAAGACACCCACTTTATTTTCATATTAATTATATATCCAAAAAATGTCTGTATAATAAATTGTGATAAGAACAAAAGGAACAAAATGAAGTTCAACAGTCATAGAAATGATCACTGTTCTCAAAATTATAGAAGATTTATGTACTAAAAAGATCTTAACTAAGATCCCTTCAATAATAAAAAAAAATTAACTGCCATTTTTATTAAACTTATAATTTTTGCATCAAAAAATCTATTAACTGATGGTTAACATTTTCACATATATGAAAAATCTATTAACTGATGGTTAACATTTTCACATATATATCCGTTACGGATAGCACGCCTGAGTTTCATGCACAATGCAATCTTCAGGAGCTGAGTATAGATTAACCATTACGTAAATTAAATTTTTTTAAAAATATCTGGTTATCAAAATGTTGGCAGTTATACATTATACTGGAATTACAGTTTTTTTTTAATTTTAAAAATTATATTTGGCATTTAAAGTGTGTGTGTGTATGTAAAATAAATATATTTTAGAGTTGTGAATATTAATTTTTTACTTTTATATTAAGCATAAAGGGAGATTACTTAAAAAGAAACTAAAAAAAAAAAAAAGACTGACCATAATCTACATTAAAAATTAAACTTGATCAAGGTATTCAAAGCAAATATTTATCTTATCATCATTTCCCTTGTTTAATAAGCTAGAGTTATTTAAGTGCTTTAACAAGACAAGTTACATCTATTTCCTTTCCAGTTATAATATTTGGCTCTTGCTATAATATCCCAGTTAATAAAAGGTGAATTACCATCATTCTTTAATTGCCAGAAATATTTAGAAAGAGTAGAGCTGTTTTTCTATTTTATATTACTTAAAGTCAATTGATGATGGTAGAAACAATTTCCAAGGATTTTCACTGAAACTAAAATAAAATTTAACATTGTTACCGGAATGTATGCTAGCTCACTATACAATATTATCAATCATACATTGACTATTTAAGGGACAGGTCATATTTTTTCAGCAGTTGCATCTATTTTTAGAAAAATTTGTTGTCTTTGTTGGAAATATATTTGTTTAATATAATGTTATGTTGGTATATAGATTTGTCCATTATTAATGCAGCTATAATGGATCTTAACATAATTTTTGCTAAAAAGTTCTTATGAATTAAATTTTTCCAACATTCCTGAAAATGTCATTAACTTCTGACAATTTTTGTAAGAATTTCCAAATCAATGTTATTTTAATGGAAAAAATGCACTAAAATTTCCACATTAAGCTCAGTTATACTGCTGACAAAAAAAGAAAAAAAAAATTAAGATTCTTAACCAAAATTTCAAACATGTTAGAAAGGAGTAAATTTTAAAAAATAATTAAAAAATACTTTGTTCTTTCCTCTTAATAATATTTAAACATTAAAATTGTTTTTAAGTCTGGTGCCTTTTTTCATCATGGTATGCTGTCTTTTAGCAAAAAAGAGTATATATATATATATATATATATATATTTTGTTGAAACTTGGATAAGCATGGAATAATAATAATACAACACAAAATGTACGTAAACAAAATGTATTGAAACAAGGAAAAGGTACACAATATTTACAGTTAGTTTTGGTATATTCTTGGGAAGACTGTTCCCTGCAGAATGGGTTGACTAAATCGCAGTCGGGCAGAGTCTCTCGATTCGATCTCTTCTTACTTTCTTTTCCCGTCTTCCGGTACCAACCCATATTTATATGGTCAGTACTCCACTTATGTAAATTAGGTGTATCGTTTACACAACACCCTCCTCCCAAGCCTTGGAATCCCTTTGGATTTCAAATTGGCTTCCTATATGGGTTGATGATTATGGCTATTTCTTTGTAGATCCATTTGCCTAATTTTAATATTTTTTCCGTTTTGGATTCACGTCCAATGGGTCCATCAACTTCCGTTTCCTACCGGATCTTCTTGGTTCAGGTGTATTCTGTGGAGGTTCTACCTGAAACATATACATTATACCAATGGGATCTTCGTCCTCATCCGGTATACACTCTTCTTGCTCTATACCGTAATTTTTTTTAAGTTGGTTTTGGTGCCTTTTATGAGTATTCTTCGCCCTTAATTATGTAAATCAGGTCACCGATTCTCTTGTCCACTATGCCTCGTTCCCAGAACTCAACGTTGTTTTATAGCACTTGAAAAACACCTTCTCTCCGGGAGTGTATCTTTTCCTCGCTGTATACATGGTATTTTTACTCTATTTTTTCCTGGCAAAAGCTTGTCAAACACTGACTTAACTTTCCTAGCGAACATTAGTTCAGCTGGTGCCATGTTTGAGTATGTTCTCTGGTTTGGCGTGATTCTGTATACTTGTAAGAGTTGCTGAAGCGCCTTTTCCGTTGGAACTCCTGAGGCTTTCTTCAGAGCTCGCTTTAAAGTATCGAAAAATCTTTCTGCGAGTCCATTAGACCTTGGATGATACGGAGGCGTCGTTATGTGGTTAATTTGATATAACTCACAAAATCCTTAAATTCTTCAGAAGTGAATTGTGTACCATTGTCACTCACAATACACTCTGGCACACGAACAAATGCAAATAGTTCATGCAAAAAAGTTGTTGTGGTATTGGACGTAGGCTTTTTACAGCGTAGTACTTCCGGCCATTTTGTAAAACTATCTACCACTATTAAGTAGTAAAAATCTTCTACTGGACCAGCCCAAATCAATGTGTAATCTTGTCCACGGATGATCCGTCTTGGGCCATGGTTTGTGTACTATAGGTGGTGCCTTTAGCTGCTAACTTTTACCCACATCGATGAACCATGTTTTCGATATCCACATCCATTCCTTTCCAATACACAAAGCTTCGATTAAGCTTTTTGTTCTATTAATACCGGGTGACCTATATGAAAGTCCCAAGTATTCTTTTCTGCAGCTTCTTTGGTATTACTACTCTCTCCCATATAATAAAACTCCATCACCTATTGAAAAAAATCTCCTGCACTTTTGGTCATTTGCTACCATTTTTTTAATTTCTAAAATGAAATCATCGCTTTCAGCTTCTTTTTTTTTATTTTCATTTAGCTTAACCGGTAGCTCTCTTACAATGTTGTTTACCATGCTTTTCACCTCATAATCTGCTCTGATATTTGCAATAATTGATTCTTGAATCTTTCTTCTTGACTCGGTACTAGTCTTGATAGACTATCCGCATGAATTATCTTTTTTGGATGATAGGTGCTTTATGTGAAAATCATAATTGAGAAGAATGGTTCCCCATCTTAACAGACGATTTGCTGTATAAACGGGTAACCCTTTCTTTGAACCAAAAATAGTGATCAGTGGTTTATGATCCGTTTCAAGGATAAAATGTCTGCCGTGGATGTACCTGTGAAATTTTTGTATGGCAAAATGATACTCAGTGCCTCTTTTCTATCTGAGAGTAACTTCTTTCTCCTGGGGAGCAAAGTTCTCGCCGCAGTAATTGGTTTTCTAGAACCATCTGGCATTGTGTGTTGAATACACGCTCCTATCCCGTATGAACTAGCGTCACTTGCCACTACAATATCCAGTTTTGGATTGTAATGGGTTAAAAAGAGGTCGGACGTAAGCATTTTCTTTATTTCATCAAAGGCTTTCTGACATTCTACCGTCCATTCCCATGCCTTGTCTTTTTTTAGCAGTTCATTCAACGGAGCTCTTAAATTGTACATTCCTTTAATGAACGCTTGATAATAATTTGCAAGCCCTAGAAAACTTTGTAGCATCGCCACATTAGTGGGTGTCGGCATGTCTCTAATCGCAATGGACCTTTCCGGATCTGGACATCTGCCATTTTTGTTGATTATGTGCCTTAAATGCTTAATTTCCTCCAAACCAAATTCGCACTTTGACTCTTTGACTTTAAATCCAAAGTCCTGAATCTTTTTAAATACTTGATTGAGATGCTCTCGATGTTCGTCGACCGATTAAGCTCCTTACTATGATGTCGTCTAAGTAAGCGCCGCAAAGTCTAAATCATTCAGCATGACGTCCATAGCTTGTTGAAAAATGGCAGGTGCCACTTTAATACCAAAAGGAAGCCTGTTGTACTTGAATAACCCTCTATGCGTGTTTATCCCTAGTAACTTCACATTCCTCTTCGACGGAATTTGGAGATAGGCATCTGATATGTCAATTTTTGAAAATATAACTCCACCATTTAGCTTGTTAAAAATCTCCTCCGGACTCATTAACGGGTAATGGTAGTCCTAATTACCGAGTTCAACCCTGTCGAAAAAATCAACGCAGACTCTGACTTGGTTTGATTTCTTTTTATGCACACAATCGGCGCAGCTCATGAATTAGATTCTACTTTCGAAATAATTCCCATTTTTCCAACCTATCAAGTTCTTCGTTAATTTTCTCTACACTTGAAAGGCACGTTCGTTTCTTTTTTAAAATTGGCATAGTATTTTCCTTTAATTCAATTTGGCTTCAAACTTGTTACATCTTCCAAGACCAGGTGTGAAAGTTTCGAAAACTTTTTTAATTCCTCATTAATGTCCTGTCTTGTTTGCATATTACTTTCTACTTTTCTGCAGAAAAGAGTTTAACGGTTTATCCCACAATTCGAATGTTTCAATAAAATCAGTACCCATCAAGTTTTCTCCATTTTTCAGAATGAAAACTTATTTTTTTAACTATCCCGTTCAATTTCATGGGAAGTACAACCTCGCCTTCGAATTTAATTTCCTTTCCAGTCACTGTTCGAATGCGTTGACTTCATTATTGTAGGCCTTTTAAAATTTTCCATGTTTTATAGTTCATTATTGTTAAATCTGAACCCGAATCGAGTTGAAATTTATTATTTTTTAAATATTTCAGTCGTCACATACTTCCTCAAATCTCTATCTGATTTGATATTTGAATTTGTTTGTCTAATTCGGCTATTGACTTTTTTTTTTTTTACAACACGACCCTTTGTGACCATTCTTGTGGCAATACGAAACATTTTTATTTCTATATGGGCAATTTACCTCCCAGTGTCTTCCGTTGCACCATCTACAATTAAATGGCAGAACCATTTTTTTTCCTCCCTCATTCTTTTCATTTAATTTTTCTTGTCTATTTTTAAAATACGCCGAATTTTTAATCCAATTTTTTTCTGATGGGTAATTTGACTGTTTCTTCACTTTTTTAATATAAGCAATACCAGCTTCTTCAATTTTTTTGAGACTCTTTCTTTAAACTTTACGGCCCGCTGACACTCCTCTGCTAACTTTTGCAGGGTAAGGTTTTGTTCAGATTCGAGTTTAGACAAAACTCTACGCCTTTATTTCGGCACTCTTACTGGATACCAGTCCTTGAGCAAAATTAAACACTTGAATTCTTCAACCGTAATCTCTGCCAATCTGAAATTGTCACAATGTCTATTCACTATAGATGCATAAGTTAAGTAATCCTGATCGTCGAATTTAGCTACAGTCATGCATAACCATCGCTTATGCCAAAGCGACATATTTGCTCCAAACAACTCCTTTAGCAATTTCACTGTTTCCGAAATTCCAATTCATTTGTTCTTCTCGGTAGAATAAAATCTACAAATTTGCTATGTTCCGCTGTACCTAGCTTTCTTAGTAATAGACTGACTTTTCTTGAATTCGACCAGTTTTCACAGTCTGTGTGGAAAATATCTTCATATCATTTAAAGTGCGCTTCAAACGTTTTTCCTTCGTCTGGCACATAGTTGAAAGTTTCCAACAATTAAATATGATGTTATTAGAATATGAAGAGTTACTTTCATTTGCCTGATTGTTGTTTAATTTCTCCAATGTTAACTTTTGAATTTCCAAAACCTTGACATACAATTCTTCCTGTTCCCTTTGACGTTGCTGACTCAACTCCTCTTGCCTTTCTTGATAATTCTGCTGTGCTAATTGCTGTTCTCTTAATAAGGCAACCTGTTCACTTTGTTGTTGCAGACTCAACTGCTGGGATTTGAATAATTCAGCTTGACTCAACTGCTGGGCTTTAAACAATTCAGCTATGACTTTGGATAATTCCTCCATTTTTAGCTGATAGTGTTCATGCAACAAAGAATATACTTTTAAATTGTGTATCCACGAATATACTATAAGCAGACAAAAAAAAAAAAAAAAATCGAAACAACTTACGCCTTTTTTAATTTTATGTCTTGCTTTATAAAATATTGTTGAGCAACCAAACAAAAAAAAAAAATAAACAAAATTTTTTTTTTTTTTTTTTAAGTTAAGCCCTTTCAAAGTCGACCGTCGTATTTGTGCTCCTTTTAATTCCATGCATGTTTTTTTAGTCGCCAGTTTTTTTTTTTTTCGCCGTTATTTGTTTCACGCCACCTTCCAGATTTTTTCAGAGTGAACGTTCCTTTATGCTTAGTCGTCCTTTTAACTATTTTAACTGTCCAGACTTCAGAATACTTTTCCATTCCATTAGATGTTCGACTTTTAATTAATGATTTTTTTTCCAGCCTGGGTTCTTCCACTTGTCCCAATTGTTGAAGGCTATTAATTATTAATTCTTTTTTTTCCGTAACGTAAAGTTCTTTATACCTCGTCGCCATTGTTGAAACTTGGATAAGCATGGAATAATAATAATACAACACAAAATATAATAAACAAAATGTATTGAAACAAGGAAAAGGTACACAATATTTACAGTTAGTTTTGGTATATTCTTGGGAAGACTGTTCCTGCAGAATGGGTTGACTAAATCGCAGTCGGGCAGAGTCTCTCGATTCGATCTCTTCTTACTTTCTATTTCCCAGTCTTCCGGTACCAACCCATATTTATATGGTCGGTACTCCACTTATGTAAATTAGGTGTATCATACCACAACATATATATCACACACAGACAAAAAAGGCTATATTTGCTTGGGGTAAAAAAAAAAAAAAAAAAAAAAAAAAAAAATTATAAATATGGTTGAAGTATTCATTTTCTTTAAATTTTTGACTGGTACTTATTTTCAGTTATTTCCCTGCAAAAACTATAATGAATATGTATTACAGGAGAATGAAAAACACATTTAAAAGAATTTATTATTCCAAACAAAAAAGTGAAGTGTTTTAATTGATGACAAATATATATCATAACATACCTGGCATTTTGAGGATGTTGTTTAGAGAAAAGGTTGATTTTAATTCCAAATGGTAATGAGCAGGTTCCAAGGACATTGACAACTCGAAAATTAATAAATTGAACATTAAACCCCAATTTCTGAAGTCGGCGTGCAAAGCGGCGAGCAGCAAGCTTGGCTTCATCTTCACTGAAAGAAATAAAATTAATAGCATTGTAAAGATTCTCAACATTTATGAAAAATTCATTAATAGTAATTAGCAATTGTAAATAAAAGTGAAAATAATATTTTTTTTAGCTAAATCTAGGTGTGTTATTGCTCTATACTTCTCTTAAGTCTTCTTTTGAACTATAACCAATTCAGGTTACATCTGATTATTAAATTTAGAAAACCTATAGAAGATGATTTCAAAATATGAAAGCTATTTCCTTAAATTCTCATCTGCTTACATAACTTTTATTATTGTTTTTTACTGATCTTAAAAAGAAACTGTTTTCAATTCAAAACTGCTTGTAACTTGTCTTTATTTCAACTGGATAAAATCAAATTCCATCTGGCATGAACTTCAATATATTTTAACTTTTTTTTTTTTTTTAATCATTTCACCCCAAGCAATGTGATAATGAGAAATTAGAATTTGTTTTAGGAAAACAGAAGATGGCAATAGCACTCACAAAATGATTTGTGTAACTTCTTGACAAGAAAGTATGAAAAATCTAACAGGTGAAAAGTGGAGATCATTAAAGATTAATCAACGTCATACAATGCAGAAAAAAATAACACTTTTACCAGTTTTTGTTGTATCAGTTGTTTTGTAATTCTTACCATCTCTTTTATTCTCCCTCTGAAAAAATGTATACAATGTCTTACAAAATAACAGGAATTGTACTTTTTGCTGGTTTTAGAAGTTCTTTTTTATTCTTTACTGTTGATTTTCTGTATTCAAGGGTTAAATATAAATAAGATCATTGACTGTGACATTGAGAATAAAAGGTAAATTTTGTAACCAAAAGATTTTAAAAATGAAGAAATTAAATTCGGTCCTGCTTACACAGTCCAATGTAAACTTCCTCTTTCAACTCTAGGTTTTTCAACACTTATGCTATTTCTTATGGATGCATTTTCTCATTTTGTTAAACAGAAAAAATTACCCATTTAATGTTTGTTGCATCCACATATTAATTTTAATATCTGGGTTCTCTTGATTTTTATCAGTATCCCAAAACAATTATTATTTGATAAGTTCCTTCAAACATTTTTACAAAATAAATAGAGATTTTTCTGGGGAGCACAGACATCCTACTCTAGTATCTATCGATTTAGGTTTTATTTACCTTGTTGCATTGAAATGACAAGTTTATTTCTATGACAGGTATAACATCTATACCTACAAATTATACAGCCCATTGTCCATGTCAAACATATGTCAGGTATCATAAAAACTGAAATAGACTTAATATCTGTATTTTCCAGATTGTGTGTGTTTTTGTTAACATGTTTAGTAAATTCAGTCAAATTCTCTTTATACTTATGGAATTGTCATTTAATTCCCAAAGTCATAAAGAGTCCATAATTGTAATACCACAATATTGTTGGATTTTAAATATTTTCTGGCTCTTAATGGAAACAAATGTTTCATTGTTCTTTTAGAGTCAAAAAAAAAAAAAATGCATTTTCAATTATTAAAATTAAACACAATTTTTTAGGCAGCTATGATCAAACATGTTGCATAAAAATTGAATGGTAAAAAATTTTATCTGAGTTTTTGTGTTTTTATTCCTATATAATGAAACATTTCAAACACATAGCCCAAAAGGCTGTTTTTCAGTGATCCCTGGTTATTATCATCACTGTTTACCATGGGGAACCATTTTCATGACCAATATTTTCCTCAAATTTGAATAAGTTCAATAAATTTGTCCATCACCACATTCCAAACTTGGCAATAGCATTCCTAAATAGTTTCTTCCTACCCATCCTAATTGGCATTTGACAGACCTTGATGACCTTAAAAAGGTCAACAAGGTCTATTCAATTCCTTAAAATGAAGGGAAGAAAACCTCTGCATCACCATCTATACTTTAAATGAGAGGACAAATGTACTTTTTGCAACAATGCCTGGGTCTTTTTTCATTCCCTGTTTTTTTTGATTTTATGAGAAATAAATTTGATAACTTATGAGGGAAAGTGGAAATGAGCATTGAATTATTATATACATTTAAAAAACAATCCTGATAAAATTTTAGAGAAATGATTACAACTTGTTTTAGGAACATAGAGATAGAGAGGCAATTAAGATGTGATATGACTCAAACGTGAGGAAATGCAAAAGTTATTTTATCTATTTTTTTTGCATAAAAAAGGTGAAAAGAGATAAATTTGGCTAGTTAGATTGGTTATCCAGGTACTGTAGCTGAAAATGAAGATTTTTTCATAAAACAAGAAGGAATAGATTTGATAAAATTTAGGTGAAGTAGGTACATTAGGTACCACTATACACAACAGACAGTTTGAGATTTTCATAATGAGAAGAGGAATAGATTTGATCTCAAACTGAGGTGAAAAAGTATTTGAGGTAAAAAAAAAAAAAAAAAAAAAAAAAAAAACAACACAAGCAGAAAGTCATGTTTTGAGATTTGAGAGAAGATAAACTGAAATTTCAAGGAAGAAAACAATTGTTTTTGGTCAGCTACATAAGTAAAACAGAAAATGTCAAAGAAAAACATCAGAAAATTTTATGAAAAGCAACCAAACTTTTCAAGTGGGAATATTTGCATTTTGTGACAAAATTAAATAGGAGTGGTAAACAAATCCTGTAAAATGTGTATTTCAAGAAATGATGATTTTTTTTGAAATTATGCATAAATTTTGCTTTTTTAAAAGTTGTAATTAATAAACTCAAATGATTGGATACTTGCACAAAAAAAATATTGTCTAACATTCTCATTTTCCTCTCTTTCACTTTTACACTTCTTATCACTCAAAATTAACAAACTGATTTAATTCAGCCTTGTGGGTCTGTGGACACCTGGTTGTCTCTGTCCACAAGAGAGTCTACAGATCTCTTTTTTGTCCATATGGACAATGGGGCACCCATGTACTTCTCCCTCATTTTAGAAGTGGTTTGAGGGCAACTCCCAGTCAGACTTGACACCTGATGTAGACAAAATCTACAAAGTGACTACACACGGACCAAAAGGAAATAGATAAATGAAAAATTTCAGGAACAAGGTGCCACTTGGCTGGATGTTTACAGAGTAATGAATTTGGATTTGAAGTACAATGGAATTACAAAAACAACTAGAGATGATCCTAGTGAGAAAGGAAGCAAAACAAAACCATAAGAAAATCTCACCTGAAGACCAAAGCATGCAGCATGCGTATATTTGCCATTTTTATCTTGAAATAAATCCATGTAAAAGTAACCAAGCAGTTCATCTGTGTCAGCATCTCTAACACTGTACTAGAAAATAAAAATCAAAAATTTATATTAAATGTCCCAAATTGATAAATTCTAAATATATTTTAATGGTACATTGACTAAGTGTAAAAGAATAATAGGCAGTTATTAATCTTGTTCATTTTTTTTTCAAATGTTTAAAATTTCAAAATAAATGATAAAAATATTACAGAAGGTTGAAAGATTCTATACTTTGTGTTCTAAGTATCTGGCATATGATACTTTAAAGACCAGCATTGACAAAACAGCTCATAATTTGGATGTTGTTTAACAATATTGAAATCAAAAGCCAGAATGGTTTATCAATTATGTTTTCTTTTGATCTAAAAAGTGTCAGTTTTGCTATCCAATAAATTTTAGGGTTAAGTCTGTAGATTTAGAGTGCTGGTAAATTTTAAGATAAAGAAATGAATAACATCCTAAAAAATAAAATTATCCTGATCTGTTTAGTTTTTATTCAATTTTTTTTCAGTCTTTCAGGGTTTGAAAAAAAACTTTGTTGATGAAATAATGCTTTGGTTTCATCTGCAGTGTTTTCATGAAGAAATGCTTTCAAAATTATTTCAGAGAGTCCCAATAGGTCAGGTGTTCTCAACCTTTTCTATTGGAAAGCTAGAAAACTTGTTATTTTCTGTTAACCCCCCATATTATTTTTATATATATATATATATATATATATATATATATATATATATATATATATATATATATATACACACACACACAAAACAATATCTCATGAAGACAAAGAAGGCAATTTATACTCAATTTGAGCAACAGATTTAAGTTAATTTTTGGATGACATGAAAAATAATTAAAAAAAAATTAATTATAACAAATTTAAATCTAAAGAAATAGTACAAAAAATTTAAAATTTTCATTCAATTTAAGTGTTAATTAAACAATTTCAAAAACCAAAAATCTAACATTAAGAAATTCACATCAAAAAATGTAAATTTTAAATCTAATGGCTTTTTTGTTCCTCTTTCTTGGATATGATTTTGTCAAAACGTGGTACTTTGTTTTTGATAACAATCCACATGTCTGCTCTTGCATTCATTAATTTTCTAGATTTTGTCTTGATTGACAAAAGAAAACTAAATCCAGACTCACATAAAGTATATTTTGTCGCAAATGGGATAAGGACACCATGTGCTTTTCACCAAGTTTTTTTAAACATATTCATTAATCCAAAATCTTGCTTTCAAATTGCATTTCAAGAACATGATTTGTCTGCAAATCAATAAGATCTTCCTTCAGCTTGTCATCATCTGACATATCCAAATTGTAGGAGTATGGATTCATGATCCACTCTCCTGAAATCTTCAATTTTCCAGCTGCAAAATATCCATCAAATGATTTGACAGCATTTCCAAATGAGCCACAATGTCTTCATGCACAGTAGGAATTAGAGATCCATTATCATCAACAATTTCTTCAAGTGATGGAAAATTTGAAAGATAACCTGTCAATGTGAAAGAGGTAACTTTTCTTTGGAAACCTTCAACTTTTCGCAATATTTCAATATGTTCATATCTTTTCTATGAAGTGAGACACGCACTTCATTCTTACAAGTGAAAATGTCAGCCAAATAAGCTAGCATTTGCATGAAATTTTGTGATTCAATTCACCAACCAGATTATAGTCATATTCCTCCAGAAAAACTTTTTCTTCAAAGAAAAGTGGGTTAAAGCTTGTCCTCGTGAGAGCCAGCAGACTTCTGTGTGGAAAAGCAAAATTGTTGTATGTTCATTTCCCAGATCTTCACAAAACAACTTAAAGATGCAATGGTTCAGAGCACAACCCCTAATACAGTTGATGATCTTTACACAAGTGTCAAGTACTTTTTTTCAACCTTGGAGGCAATGGTTTTGCTGCCAATGCATGACGATGAAGGAAACAATGTGTGACTTGCAGAATCTCCCTCTTCACCAGTGCAGAAAATCCAGATTTATTCCCTAGCATCTCAGGAGCACTATTAGTGCACACAGAACCAATAACTTGGATGTCTAAATCATGTTTGGCAAAGAAGTCTTCCACAAACTGATACACATCTTTTCCCTATGTGGTTGTTTTCAGCACTTCACAAAACAGGAAATTTTCTGTCACAATACCATCACTGACATACCTAACCAATGCAATGAGTTGACTGCAGTTTGATACATCAGTTGATTTAGCCAACTGGAGAGAGATTTTCAAAGAACTAAACCTGACATCTGAGATAACTTGATCCAAAATATCATCACTCAAATCACCAATTCAATTGAGAATGACATTATTTGATAGCGGCACTAATTCAAGCTTTTTTCTTGCTTCTTGGCCCATTGTTGCCATTTCTAATGCACACGGTTTGATCAGCTCTTCTGCAATTGTATAGAGCTTCTTGAATTTAGCTACTTTATATACCACTTGGTACAAAGCCAGGAGCAGTGGCTTGTCAACAGAAACAAAACCTAATCTTGGAAGGGTTGCACAAGATTGAAAATGGGCTCTTTTAGTTTTCAAAATCATGGCCTTCAACACCACCTACACCATGCTTGTTGTTGAAGTGCTCTTGCAGCTTTGATGGCTTCATATTTGTGTTGGAAAATATAGCATCACAAAGTATGCACTGGGGTTTTTCAATTCATCATTTCCCATGCAAGTGAAACCAAAGTAACGTAGTCATCATTACATATTTTTTTTTTTTTTCACAAAGGATAAAAAGAGATAGAAAAGATGAATAATTTATCAATCTAATAACTTCAATATAATCAACAATGTAATAAACAATATAATAGAATCTGGCACCCATCAAATTTGGATTCTAGAGATAATTCTGAACTTAATGAAGTAAAAAATTCAAAATAAGAGGCTCACCCACTTGGCAACCCGACTATAAACAGTAACTGGCAGGAAGCAGTGCCACCTATTTTTGGTTGTTAATTTGAATGCTATCCATGACTGGCTAATTTTTTAAAAAAAAAAAAAAAAATTAGAAAAAAAAAACATTTTCTCTTCTGCTACTGTTAAATTAGTTAAAGGTATCAGCAAAAATAATAAATAAATTTGAATGTTTAAAGCATTATAGTTTAAACATTTAAATTTATTATCTAAAGTTTCTAATGTTCAAAACACAAGTGATCAGTGCTATATTTTTTTTTTTTTTTATGCAATAACAACCTTTTGTTTCTTCTTGCTATAAAATTACAGATCTCTTAGAAGCTAATGGCTGATCACTTCTTATAAGTGATAAGGGTAGTGAATTTCAGCTAATCAACAATTAAAAAAATCTTAGCATTAATTTATATACAAAAAATGGAAGACGGAAAATGATATTTCTAAAAGAAGACTATGTGGTAAATATCCTAAGAATGTGACCTAAAATTATTAAATAAAGTAAAATTACTTTACCTCGTTGCTCCAGTACAGGTTACTTTGCCTGATGACCAGATGCTGGCTGTGGTATAAGGTTTCCTTAGTTTCATGTTTAACAT